TTTAACCCTTTGAACGCCGGTGATGGATATTATGGACGTTAAAATGGGTACGTTTCACTACTTTCGGTATATTCTCATTTTGTAAGCCTACGCATTATAATGTTTTTTAATAGCTAGGTGCCGGGGAGGCAATAATGAAAGTAATTATTGATTCAGACAAGTTTTCTTACTTTCTTTTGTTGGCTAGCATACGCAAGTGTGGTTACCACACAGGAACATCCATCATCACACTACCCGGCCACTGAAATTGTTTCTACGTCACGCGACCCTCATTACAACCCTTTATGTGACATAGAGTAACAAATAATGAGACCAGTTTTGTGCATTTTTATTTTATTTGAATTATGTTGGAATTTGTTAATTACATTTGGACATAACAAACGTCAAATCTACTAGTACCCGGGAGTTTTTGAGTTCGAAATCTCCGTCAACATGTCGTTATCTCTGTTTTGCCAAAGATGAAAGACGGGGATGACGCTATCTTTATACAGTGAGTTTTGGCTCAGAAACTCACAGTTTTCGTTCTCAGAACATCTTTATTTTTAAAAACATGTAATATTTCTATAGTTGTCTTTTAATAAAAAAAATACAGATTAGATTTTACACAAATAATTGTGAATTAGTTTTTAAAAAAAATTGTAGATGAATAAAGTTGATTAAAAATAAACATGTCGCCTCTGTTTTGATATAGTCTGTGTCTTCCTGTCGTGAAGAATTGCCGCATTTTCGTGGCTCGCCATGCCTGCCGGTCCAATCATCAATCTTTCCCATCATGTTACATAACACCTTAATGTTATATAAACCCTTTGTTTTTCAGTCCACCTTTCTCTGGAATAACTTACTACGATAATAAAATAATATAATTAACAGTTTTATATGCGATTGCCTTGAACTAGCTGTGCCTGCGATTTCGTCCGCGTGAAATACTGTTTTTGGGTAGCATTTTAATTTTTTAGTCTACTTATTTTACTAACACTTATAGTACATACAAAACATATTAAACTCACAAAACATTCACATAAACCTCAAATATTAAAAAAAAACTTTCATCCCTTAAAGTTATTTTGCACCCTTGAGGGTAAAATGTTTAACATATTTATTATTTATTTATATCAAATTAACAGCCTAAAAATACCATACAATACAAATTTCCAACCCCTTTTCAACCACAAATAATACCTTTTTCGCGTCATAAATTAGCTAAATTTCATTTAAATCGGTTCCGTACGTTTTGCTTGAAAGAAAGAAGACAGACAGACAGACATTTTTATTTTACTTTGAGTTTACATATTAGTAAGGATCCCTTATGTTGAGACAATGATTACCAAATTAAGAATATTTATTTTAAATATATTGTTAGTTATTTTATGGAGATTGAGTTGAACCGAAGAATATTTTTGTACAAGTATTTTAGGTACTGTGAACTGTATTAGTGTCATAAATTTATTTTTAAATAACAACGGATTCTGTTGTAGAGTTAAGTAAGCTAACTTTTCTAAGTTTAACTAACCACAGGGAAAAACCGCAAAGTCCTTTGTGTCACTAACTTATAACAAACGGTTAAGGGTTTTACTTTTTATTTTTATTTTTAAATTCAAAGCGTAAGAAACTTTTGTGGACTAAGGGAAAGTTTTATATCGTTAAAGTTCATTTTATCCCAAGTTTACTTTGATTTAAATTTAAAAATAGATACAGTTTTTTTAAAATGCTAAGTTTTTGAAGCAGTTATGATGCTTCAAAAACTTAGCAGTTTTAAAAAAATCTAGTTAAGTATGTTGATTTTTTTTCTGACGTTTGTTGAGTAACGCCTTAACAAAATAAAGCGGAAATGTACACGTGAAGTAATTCATTAGCGGTTTGTTATTCGTGCGGTTAATAATTAGTCAGGAGCTACATTAAAATTTTAACATGTTACTAATTTTGTATTTCGTGTTAAAAATTATAAACATAACCTCAACTTTAGTTTATTGGGAATTTTATAAAGAAGTTATGTGATTTAAATATCACAAAAGCTTCAAAATCCGAGTTTTTCGTGCTTATTAACCACTCCCAATGAATTTGCTGTTTATTTCCTGCAGGCGTTTTTTTTTATTTTTACCTATGAATCTCGTATTCATCATCATCATCATCATCATCAGCTCACTATATGTACGACCCCAGGGGCTCGGAGCCTACCCTAAGTTAAGGGTGATTAGGGCACAGTCAACCACGCTGGCCTAGTGCGGGTTGGTTGACTTCACACATATCTTTGAATTTCTTCTCAGATATGTGCAGGTTGCATCACGATGTTTTCCTTCACCGTAAGAACGTCGGATAAATGTACATATGTAAATCGGAACCAAAAAACACATTGGTACAAGGCGGGATTCGAACCCAGGACCTGCAGATTGCAAGTCAAGTGCTTGACCCCTGAGCCACCGACGCTCACGTGAATCTCGTATTACGTACATATATTAAAAATAATTTTTATTTGAAATAAGTATAAATAACCTTTGCAGTTTCCACAATTGAATTTTTCATACGAAATTCTCGAAATGCTCAACAAAACTCAATTAGTTAATTAAAATGATGAACAAGCTAATTTTAATCTTTATGTCACGGTCGATGTTATATTAAAAGCATAATATGTAGTCGAAAAAGTTTAAAACTCAACGTAATGTTTTATTTTAAATTATAAATATTAATGTCAATTACCTAATTAGTAAAATATAATTAAGATACACTTCTAAACAAAATTTTAATTTATATTTGAATGTTTCAAAATAAGATTTACAAAATGATGCTGTAGGTAAGGTTAAAAGACAAATTATTATCAGTATTATATTTCCTTTGGGTTCGTAAAACGGTATCTAACATTTGTTTTTTTTTTTGGTTTTTGTTTATAATAAAGAAATAAAGAATATCCCGCACCCCAGGTCCCTGACCTCGACTGTGTTAAGGAACGAGAGGGCGGCATAGCGCCGGCCAAAAAAAAAACATTTGTTTCACGTCAAATATACTCCTACTTAAAGAAATAGAACTAAAATGTATGAATAGAAATTTAAATGTTAGCTAAGAAAATGTTCGTCCTTTATCTGTAATCATTGTACGTCTCAGTACAAAAGTGTAGCTTCTGTTATAAACTTACGAATACTAATTCGGGGCGACTTATCTATCGAGTCTGTCTGTATCGCTTGGCTGGCCAACCGAAACACTGACATTTAGTAAAGGTCGCATTTTAAAAAACACGGCCAACAAACGAACAAGGCGTGTAGGACTCTTGATATTGCTTAAATCCGGTCTTTAACATTTACTTGCATGAAATATACTATATTTTTATTTAATTGAAGGTCGTATTTTGCAATATAATTTAAACAATCGGTGTTACTGTCATGTAGGTACTGATTAAGCAGTCCTTGTATGGGCCTTGATGTATTTCGAAATATTAATCAGGCCCTTGAAAACACATCTGCTAAAACAGAGATCGCGAACCTTTGTTTATCAACGTGACATTTTCCTAAAAAAAAAAAAAGGTTTTATGGCGGTTCTAGACTTGCCATCAAATTAGTTCGACTTTATTGAACACATTCAGTGCAGTTCGTTCCCCATTTAATACCTATTTGGCACTCTCTTTCGAAGTAAAAGATGAATTTTTAATCTATGACCAATATTGTGATGCGTGCGTCATTGGTTCGCCATATCTATCGTCGTTACAATTGTAAATCACGTGTCTTGTTAAGGCGAAGTATAAACTGTCACTGGAGGAAGGTCAAGTATTTTTAAGGCAGAGGATAAATAAATAGTCCAAAAGTCAATGATGAATTTTATTCTAATTAAGTTTACGTGGAAACATGTATTATTATAACACGAATCTAAAGAAGAAAACACTATTATATTCTTAATTACGTAATACTTATACAAATAAACAAAATGTCTTTCACATTGTTGTCCTTCAAATTAGTTATGTTTAATTTGAAGATATATAAACAAAATAATAACATAAACACACATACAAGTATTTTTAACAATATCATTGAAGATGGCAAAGAAAAATCAAAAATTATAACCTTAATTTGTGCCTATTTTGTATTTATTTTTGTGCGTGAAAACGGAAACAGATAAAACAGATAAGTTATATGTTAAGAAATTAGAATCATGAATTGCGTTTTTTTGTTTCCTTATCACGCCTTCTTTGACCTAAACAAGTGCCAAGTGTATACCTACTTACGTTAAAACCGTGTAACGATTACAAATAACGGTAATGAAAAACATACTTTTAGAATTTATCTTATTTTTTTTTTATTGAGAAGGCACATGAAAATCTTATAAATAAATTAATAATCCGAGATTACGATATTCGTCGTTGAAAGCTTAAAAAATATACCGTTGTACTGAAAGTATAGACAGGTATTTAAAACTGTATTACTGAAAGTAAATAACATTTAATCTACTTAGGTTAGTTTTAACGGTTCGCTACAATATCAATGTATACATAACATAATATATGAACATTCTTACATACTATATAAAAATACCAACAATATTCAAAAGAAACCATTTGACTACAAGATTTGAACCTTTGAAGGGGTTAAGTTCAGCTTTACCTCATCTTAGGTGATATGCCACTGATAGAAATATTTTACAATCTACTATTCCATAATACAAAATGTCATCGAAAAAGGTATTATAATTTTGAATCTAGGAATTAGACAGCGGTGTTACCCGATCAATTATTTTAAACATTTTTTTTTGCAATAGCAACCCCAATCTGTTCACCTTACTTTTTAATACACAATTTGTTCCCAAAACAGATAAGTGATACGTTTTTTTTTTCTATTTGTAAAGATGACAACATATACTAGCACATGAAAAGCTTTTATACATTCATCGACATATTTAAATAATAAAAAAGTACTTTAATTTGGAGCAAGCATCTATTTTATTATAATACATGCAGCTCAGTGACTGAATTACGTTAAAAAAAGTTTTTTTTTTATAAAAAAAAATTCACAAATTTTTTTTTTAATTTTGCTTACTCCAAACCACGTTTGCTATTGCAAAAACTGAAAACGACAGAACAACGGATCCACAATCTATATCTAACACTATAAGTAAGAAAAATATATATTTATATAAAACTAATTTTATAAAAGCTCGTGAAAATATTTTAGTGTCACAAGAATTGTCTTTTTTTTATAATACTTGCTACTACATACACTAGATGTTAATGATTTGGGGCTTCAACATACAAATGGCAAAGTTAAAATATTAAAAAAAAACAATCCAAATTAAACAGTTCGGAAATTCTTAACAACTAAAAAAAACACGCAAAACTTATGAAATATGAAAAAAAAAAACAAACAAAATCCCTTACCATGTCTTTAAGTGTGCTGCTTTGATCGATTCAAAACCGTCACCTTAGTTTGTTAAAAGTTGCCTTTGGAGAAAACGACTCCATTATTACTTTGGTTATTTATTGTGTTACGTGACCACCCATATTTCAACGTTACATAGTTCACCGATAACCGTGCGTTTCCACTGAAACAGTACTTAAATAAAAACATATAGAATATTGAAAGAATAGATTAACAACATGCTTTAGTTTCAGTACTCTGGCAGTAGAAACCTACGGTAGAAAACACAGATTTAAAATGAAATAAAAAACAAAATTGAAACGATAAATGCAAATCAGAATTGCCAGAATGTTTCAGACGAAGCGGGAAATTAAAGGAGACAAAAAAAAGCAAATTTTGTCGTAGCAAAATACTCTATCTAGTAGGTACAAAAGTTTCGAGAGCCTATAAAAAACTTTTAACATCCTACCGAGACCTATGGAAGCCAAATATAACGTAGCAACAACGTCGAATACTATTTAAGAAATTTATCATTTAAATTCCTATGCCTCAAATGTACACGCATTTGATACAGAGATAGCTTTGTTTTTTTTTGTATTACCTATTTCTGGTCCAATTATTTTTTTAATTCCAACAGTAAAAAGTTTTAAATTAAAAATGAATTTAGATTTAACGACAGGTATAATTAGTAATGTCAAATTAAAAAAAAATACTTTGTTAAAGATCAGTGCTTTGGTTGATTAGCTATCTCGTACACTGAGAAAATATTAAATATGATTCAAATGAATATTTATGATTGTTGTTCAGACCCTGCCTCGTTTAAGCGATATACCTATTTTAAACGACCGATATTAGTTTTACAATTATTATAAAGATATCCTTAACACTACTCTAGAAGCTTGACAAAAAATTCTAGGCCGATAGGAACTGAATGTTGACAACGTAAACACTATAAATTATAGAGCAATCGAGCAGCGCTACTAATCCGATGGATATCCAGAAATACTAAAACAAGTTCGAAGTGCAACATCAAAGTAATGTAACCTATACTCTTAATATACGACTTACATTAATTACAAAATCTTATCAGCACTGATACTGTTACAATCAGTATCTCATTAGAATGGGTTTTTGTTGTTCTAATAGAATAAAATTGTCTCTTTTAATCTTTGATATCGTCTTTCTTTTATTATTTCATTTTCATTTAGTCCAATTGCATCATTCGTAATATCGTTACTCATTTCTATTGTTAGTGACATTTAAAAAGTAACATTGTTTGAAATCTTAAACTAAAAAACTGGTTTCCCATATTCACCGCTATTAAATAACATTTACAATACATCAATTCAACCCTCAACAAATCGTTCCGATTTATTTGATTTACATGCGTCTTTGTTGAATGCGCCTTTGGTGTTTACAATGTGACTATGAGTTCTCTTGCTCTTCCCAATCAACGTTCGCCCATTGAGGAAGTTCAGTTTCGTACTCCCAGCCGGGTCCCTTATAAGAAATAAAAATAATGTTTAGTCTTTTTTACTGTCATCATCAATCGTGTTTTGATCTAGTAAAAGTAATACAAGCCGTAAATTCTTAGTGATATGGTGTAGAATACCTTGTACTTCCAGGCGTGTAGGTACATGACAAGGTCGCGGGGACGCGGGTCGCGGTAACGCACTCGACACTCGTAGCAGTGTGGATCAGCTGTCAGCGAGTCTGCAGCTCCCGTGCCCACTGCGCCAGTGCCCAGGCTGGCCACTGCCGCTGCACTGGGAGCCCTAGTGCCCGCCCCACAACCCGTCTGAGTTGCCACTGTCACTTTATCGGACTGTGAACAAAATCAGGATATTAATTAGCAAATCGTAAAATCATAGAAATAGAAAAAAACCTTAAAGAAACCGAAACAATAAACTTTTTGAGATCAATTAAATGACTGGATATGGCTGACATGATGACAATCAAACTTTGATGATGAAAAACTGTCCTCGCAAACTGACCTTAGCATCATTGGAGTCGTCATTGAAAGCGGGTGATGTGGCCGGTGATGGCGCTAGGGTGCACAGAGAGTTCGCAGCCACGTCCACTGGAGCTTCCGCACCACTAGATGGACTTGGAAGCGTTGCTTTAAAAAAAACAATACATTATATAAAAAACAATGATATCACGTATAAAAAACTATAACATTTCTTAACTCACGAGTCATAACAGAAGATGGTGTTAGACCAGGTGCAGGAGATTCAAGTCTTGGAGATGATTCTCTTGAAGTTGGTCCCGTGTCGCAATCGTCTTCGCCCACTGCATAAGAAGCAAAAGCAAATTAATACTTTCATGTGCTTTATAAAGTGAGTTATTAAGAAAAATGTTTTCAAATGTACCTTTATCATCAGATACTGGCTTCGAAAATAATAAATCATCATCGCCGGCGTCGACTCCAAGCCAGTTTTCAGCGTTGTGTATGGCAATGAGGTCTCTGACTAACTGTTCGTCAGTTTTGCCACCAGTATCGCCTCCTTTACCACGGAGTGGTCCAAATACTGGATGGTTGTATAATGGATCGTTGACAACTGGATAGCCTGTACCAAAAGATATTAAATTCATGTCAGACAATTTCAATTTTTTCCTAAGTAACATACATTTATGTTAACAAATTATAAATTGTTAGAAAGAAATATTGCTGCATAACTCACCTAAATATTGGAGATGTACTCGAATTTGATGCATTCGTCCAGTTTTTGGTTTACACAGTACTACACTAGTATTGTTATTGGCGTTGAATCCCAATCGTTTGAAAACTGTGGAGCAATCCTTTCCCTTGGGAGAAACTTTGCACACTCCAATTTTGTAGCTCACCACTTCAATTGGTTCCTGACATTCTATTTCCTCGCTGCAAGTTGGAAGCAATAAAGCAAATGTTATCGTAATTTAATAAACCTCAATTATTAGTTGTTCGAATTCAATAGTTCCTCAACAACAATCTAGAGTTGTTGTTATAGTAGAGATAGTCGGAGCAAAGTATTGAAAATGCTGATGTCAATTTAATCTAATTATTAATACCTTAGTTTGAAACAAACAATTTTAAGTCTATTAATTTAAAACTAAACATATGTCGCAATTCTTGTTAGAGGCTACATATAGATTTTAAATGATGCTATAGTTACAGCAATAATTATATCTTACTCAGGGAAATGTCCGTCTACTCTGCAGACATATTCCTTCAGCACTTGTCGGTTTCTTATCTGATGTTCCATCTGTCTCGCTTTCTTCGGACTTCTTCCGAATAGCAATAACCCTGAACACAGTTGAATTTGTTTGATGAGGCAACGAAGAATTTTTTTATTGAAAAGTTGTTAATTATAAAGGTGAAGCTCTGATAGCAGCTCTTTAATTCATTCAACAATGATACTTAAATGAGTTCTTAATATAAAAATTATAAATTTTGAAACATTTTTAGGAGTTATTATAATGTTTTATGCCTTCGTCAAAGATTACATTGTGTGTTATTCTTCGTCTTACCTGAAGTTAGCCTGTCCAACCGATGAATTGTTCTCAAATTCTTCAAATTATATTCCTTGGCAAGAATAAAAACGACGGTGTTGTGTCGGTATCTTCCACACGGGTGAACCTGACGAATCGATTAACATTAATACTCTAAAAGATTTTTGTTCAAACTTCATTCTATAATCAATACATTTAAAGATACTGGTTGAATAAGCAAGGTTTTTTTTATATTTAAGTATTTTTTTTTTAAATATTGTTTTAGAAAATAAATTAAAACATTATTAGGCGGTGTAACACACAATGATGATAATGAAAGCATTCTTGATGAAGTGATGTAGAATTAATATAAAACACCAGAAAGTTATAGGCTTAATAATTGTATAAAAAAACTAAGAAAATCAGATACAATTGTTGGAAAAAGCAAGTTAATTGTGCCAGTTAACGGCAGGAATGTTCAGTGCATTTTGGATATAGTAATATGAAAAAGGCTTTAACATGCGATTCAAGAAGTATTATCATGGTAGTTTTTGAACATAATTCGCGCTACGATGTTCTTCGATTTATAGAAGCGAGCCGAATTAATTCTCTCTTCAAATCATCATTTTTTTTTTAATTTTGCAAAAATGTTTAAAAAATCCTTAAACAGTGGACTTAAGAAATCACTAATAATTAATTAATTTCAATTGAAGAGAGAATTGGGATGTACGTTTAACGAGCCTGTCGATAAAATCGATGAAAATAAAATCAAAGTATTGACACGCAAGTTGATCAATATCGTTCCACTTTCAAGTGGGATTCAAGAGACCGCACGTTCCATCAGTTCCGTTTGGAGTTTAAACAGGTCCAAACTTGTGCAGATTACAATCTTGTGTCAGACCCTGGTAGGGAAATTTAGTTTGGGAAAATTTACAACTAAATTCATAGTTACAACTTCAACAACAAATTTTACTTTGCAAGAATTACTCGATTAATATTTATATAATACATTCTTACAAAACATTAAATTTTAAAACAAAGACTATTCTATTCTGTGATTTCCATAAAATGATTCATGTGATTTTTTGGCAAAAACCAGAGGATTTGATCAGAATGAACAAATTTAATTAAGTATAAAGTAAGAGAAACGAATTGTATAACCAGGGCCTGACAGAGACTGGGACGGTCACGCGATGACTCACCGGCAGAGAGCAAGGCTTGTCTAGCACGAGTAGCTCCTCATCCACGTGTATGATGCGCAAGGGACTAGCGAGCACTGGAGTCTCATGCCTGGCCCACCACGGACAGAATTATTTATTAAGGACAAGTTATAGTCCTATGATGTCGCAATAACTTTTGATTGAATCAAAGTTTACATAAGCAGTGCTTGATGATTTACTTCTTTTACAGTCGTTCGTAAAGATTCGATTGCAGTATTTAAAAAATTCCTACTTTACTTTGGTTAATATGTAATTTTAAACTAAAAATTTATTTTAATTAAATGTTAAGTGTACATAATAAAGAGTTTGATACATTTTATTATTCAGGTACAAAAGATTCAATATATTTTCATTCTTTCTTGTTAAAAGTAACTTTAAACAAAGGCTTCATAGACATTTTATGAACTGCGATATATAGTGGTAGTAACGTGGACCGACTTGCGTGTAGTGTATACTGTTTAATATGATATGAGTAGAGTCCATTGATATAATATATAATTGCAACGAATATGTACTAAAGAAACATTACATTCTGTAGTAAATGACTATTGTAAATACATTTAAAAATATTTCTTAATACATTTTAAATGAGAATCGAATCGTAATATTTTTTCATCTTTTTTCCATTAATAAATTTCCAATAATAACATACGAACATGCGCGAAATCAATAATTCCATTTTCAAATCGAAATGGGGTCGATTTTTTTTTTAGTATAATGGCAATAATATATCGGAGTAGGCTTTACAAGAGCACTTCGGGACCTCCCATTGTGGTGCTGCATCAATCAAAGTAATTGGACACGGTCGGTCACTTGGGGCCTTGCGTTAAAATAAAAATCGCCACTTTGTTAAAGCCAAAATGACGAATAACAGAGATATTCCGATGGTTGAAAAATTCTTTTTATACTTGTAGAATCGTAATAACAAAAGCATCGTCAATTTGCTTGGGCATTTCGTGTTCATGAAATGATTTGGATCTCAGACTTTTGAGTTGAGGATGGAATGGATCCTATTTCAAAAGGTATATGGAATAGTTTTGGTTGTCATCTCAATTTGGTTAGTGCAACGATAACATTTACATTGATTTGTATCTTCTTGATTTCTTTTAATTTTTTTAATAATTAAGAAGTCTAAGAAGACGTCAGTTTTAACCTAGATGTAAATTATTAGGAGTAAAGAAGTGTAAAACGCAATCTCGTAGCTCAACGTCTAATTTATTAATGTGCCTCAAAGAGCTTGCGCCGATGTCTTAGAAGTGAAAGCCAACTTGAATAAGGATGTCTTTTGACGCGAGAGGCCTTTCATCACTGAAAACTGCTGAATATTTCTTGTAAGGCAAGCTGTGCATTAGCACCGAAAATCTTTTAAGCCACATATTTATAGTGTACTGAGTTTTTACTAAGATTAAAAAAAGAATTAAATATTATTAAAACTGTTCTTTTTTGCAATTTAAATTTCGAACCATAAATCTTATAATTTTAAGTAACTTTTTTTTTATCTCTTTGGCCAGTTATATATTTTTTCCTTTACTAATTATTTTAATACAAACTCTATCAAACTTATTCTTGGTATGAATCACAACAATTAACATAATAAAGCATTTAAAATGTATAAAAATATTCAGATATACTTACATTAGACCTGTTTAAGAAAATATAATGTGGAGTCTTTACAGATAAAGTTGTGTCGTGATTAAAATGAATGACTGCTGCAATAACACGGGACAAAAGCATTTTTAGATATACAACTACTACTACTACTGCTACTACTACTATAAAGTTAAAAAGGTATCATGCATCACATACAAAGGATATAAAAGAAGAAATGATCGAAGCATTACATAAACATGGCTGTCTCAATTGCCACTTACGGGGATAGAGGCTGGTTTGTTGACAACCACAATTTCCTCGTCGATATGTACGAGGGTGATCGGTTGGCTGGTGACCGGTACTTCGTGCCTGCAACGATACACACGTCAGGCTTCTGGCCTATAAGTGCCTCGGACGCTGAGCAAAATAACATCGACAGAAAAATTCAGTTAATTGTTTTAGTAGCAAACTTGGAAAACTTTAATGCGCCGAACTAATCTTATGATTCAAGAAAGTAAAGCAAACACTTTTTAAACTTCACGTTCGAAACGTTAATGGAGAATTCGAAGCTTAAGAAAAACAAAGAAGTTATTAATGAAGAATAAAGTTCACATTAACTTGGATTAGATAAGTGTAGAGTTTGAAACTTGTCTAGTGTTAAGTAGAATCAGTAACGCATATAAATTAAGAATCACAGAAATAAAATCTTTAAACGTGTACATGAGCGATAGTGTTAGAATTTGCTCAGAGTCCGTTGTACCTTATAATGTTTCTCGTGGTATGATGTACAAATAAGACGAGAACAAAACAACAGCAAATGAACATGCGTGAGTGAAAGTCATACCACGGGTTGATGTTAAAGATACAGAAGTATAGTCAACGATGTAGAGAATTTATAAAACACCCTTTATTAACATTTAAAAAAGTATTTCCCCTTTGAATATAACTGTGCACTCGCATGCTCATTCGGTGCTGAAGATTCTTTACTCTTTGCCAATCTAAGAGGCCTGTATGTACAAACAAGCTTAGACTTTGTGATCGCTGCATTAAGGCTTATTTCTATAAAAACCTAGATTATATCTACAAAAGATTGTATTCTAGAAAATTAAAGTTCTTCAAAAATCGTATGACATAGTACCACACCGGTTTTCCATATAGAATTTATATAGCTTTGGTTTATTGTGAAGAGGTAAGTAAGAAATAAGAGTTAATAATTTTACACAGGGATACGAGGTTTCTTTTTAACCTGCACGTGTATTGGACATAACAATTATGGCATATGAATAACAAGTGGACTACGTACTGTGTACTCTTGAAAAGTATAAAATATCATTGGTAGAAATGTCAATTTATTTAAATGGTACGCTAAAGTTTTACCTGTGCACAACGTTGGCAAGTAAGTCGTTATGTTTGAGTCTATAGTCAGGGTCGACTCTCTCGTAGTTGACAGTGAGTGTGCCAGCCCTGATACATCTTTCGTACTCCGCAGCGGGATGAGCTCGAAACTCCCGCGCAAACACGTCCAAGATCTTCTCCCCAACCCACCTGCCTTTCGTGAAGGTGGTGAACGTAAAGTAGTAAGGATAGACTTTTCTAAGACCTGAAAATAATAATTATTTACATCTTATTTCATCTAAAGCAAAATTTGATAACAATTCTTGATAGCTGTTTTATCCTGCATTACTTTTTTCACTTCCTATGTTTTAAATTTAAAATATTTTTCAATGATGACGATAAAATTTGTATAATTTGTACTACGATATTATAAATCAAAAAGTGTTAATATTAATAAAACTAATTTATAATAAAGACATAGTTTTCAAACTAGCCTGGTTTAAAGTAGGTTGAGTTATAGAAATGGAAAGCGTTTACCGCCGCAACCTCAACTGAGCTGTTGTTAAAGACTCGAATGATCTGTATCGGACGCAGACCGCGACTCTGCGGTCAAACAACTTTATATATAACCAGTATGTAACATAAGTGATTTGTTAGCAACGCTATTTATAGGAAAATTACTTTCGCTATAAATGCGATGGCAGTTTTCTGTACTGCTTTTACTTTATTAGTATTTATCTTAATGTTAACATAGGTTCAGTTTCTAAACATGGAACTAGTCTTGTTTATTTCTTTGCCGACATCTAACTTGTCTTCTAAATAAAAATCTGGCAGTGTATTTTTTCTCTATTGAATTTTTTTATGTTGTTTTGCGAATATATTTTAGTGATGTTTGTATAAATACCATTCTCAATATAGTACGATGTCTCGTTGTAGCGGTCATCTGTGAAGCCCGGCCTTTTCGCCTTCAATGCTTTGGTTTCAAGCTTTGCCTGCAAACAAAACATAGAGTTTATCTTTGCCAAATATCAGAAGTACAGAGTATAAAAACTTGTCCATGGTCAGATAGCAGTAACTTTAACTTACAACTTTTAATATAAAATTATCATTGAAATTCATAATTATTAGAAATCTAGAATCAAATACAATTTAGAAGGAAATGAAAAAGTTAAAAAAAAATGATTTTAGTTTAAGAATATTTTCTTTGTAGAGCAGTGTAATCTTCTTTAAAAAAATTGAATTGACATAATATTCGTGGAAATTGAGCTCTAGAATCGCTTGTATAAAGTTTCCTACACAGGTATGCCGCCTGACAGCGAAATGAGAAAAGTTATTTTTTTAAACGAAACATTCTACAGGGTGTTATGAGCGTTTTATTTATCCTCGCATAAGCCTTTTCCTTTGTATTTATTATTTTCGATGTTATCTCATAATTTGTTTTATTTTAGGGTGTTACTTTCTGAATTTAATTGTTGTTTCTGAATCGATCTGACGATATTTTACATAGCACAATTTAGTAATAAACAATAATAGCTTGAATGTCGCCTTGAAGGTATTGAAGTCGTGAAACTGAATTAATAAAAACCAAAAATAAGCAATCTTAGAATCGGTTATGCGTTTAACTAAAAGTCAACTATATGTCTTAGGCGTACTACTAATTAAGGCTAAGAAACTTAAAGGTAAATTAATGTAATTGAAAAGGAGGTAAATATAAAAACCAACGTAAAATGAAATGACAAAACAAAATAATCCATTTCGATGTAAGAAAGATGATCGGAATGGTTGTGTCATAAAAGATAAAAACGTTTTTGTGCGATGTGATTTAATTTATAAAACAGCAGATGTTTTGTCCGGGATTCGCTCAGATTGTGATATTTTTGGCGCAAGCACCATTGTTCTGTGCCACAAGTTTTTGTTCATTTAATTTATTTTTATTCTCATCCACCGACGTCGCTTTACAATTAACGAAATTGTTTTATACATTATATTGAATTAAAATATTTTATTATATAATTCATTTTCATTAAAAATAGTTTAGATTTATTATAATTTATTTACTATAAATTATTTTAATTAATAATTGTTTTGATTTATATAATTACTAGCTGTCGCCCGCGACTCCGTCCGCGCGGGATTAAAAACAGATGTTGGCCGATTCTCAGACCTACTCAATATGCTCACAAAATTTCATGAAGATCGGTCAAGCCCTTTCGGAGGAGTATGGGAACGAAAATTGTGACACGAGAATTTTATATATAAGACTACCTGTAGCCGCGACTCTGTCCGCGCGGACTTAAAAAAAATATTTGTAGCCTATGTGTTCTTCCAGACTGTGTTCTACATCTATGCCAAATTTCAGTCGGATTAGTTCTGACAACACAAAAAACAAATATCCATCCATCTAAACATTTCCAATTATAATATTAATATAATAAAAAATAATATTAGTAACATTATAATCTCATCTTATTATTTTAGTGATTAAAAATAGTATAGTTATAAATTACCTATCCAACCTCAAATAACGTTAATTAAATAGCAATAATAAATTAATAAAATTTATTAAAACAAGGTAAAGATATCCAGACTACAGACATCTATAAGACAACTTTGTGATGCGGTCTTTACAAGGAATTTCGTGAATAGAAATTGCAAACAACAATACCGCAACTCTCTCAAACATCCAAGCTTATTCGCCTCAAACAAAGGGATCTGCTACTGAGATGAACATGTTAGAACATAATACGTGTTTTGCCAGAACAGACTCGGTGTCCAGAGTCTAGTTTCTATATGCACAGACTTACTTATCTTACTTCTTACTATATCTTACTCATACTAATATTATAAATGCGAATGTTTAGATGGATGTTTGTCTGAACTTATCTCCAAAACGGCTACATGGATCTCGATGCAATTTTTGCATAGAGTTAGATCAAGTTAGTCTGGAAAACACAGAGGCGCACAAAAAATAAAAAAAATATATTTTTTTTATTTCTTGCGCACAAAGTCGCGGGCGACAACTTATTTACTAATAAAGATAATAAACTGGTGAAGTTCGAGGATTAGAAAAATGTTGCATTATTAAAAAAAATGAAATTTAAGAGTGTGTATAGGTCTGTTTAAGTAACAGTTAAGTAACTCATAGTAAAGTCCCAAAGGTAATGTAATCGTGAAAATATTTAAACCTAAAACTTAAACTGCAACAATAGTTCATAAAACCTTGTAGTTAGTTCATAAGTACAAAGTTACCGCGGTTCTTTCAAGGCGGGTAATGTATTTAAATTAGGGCGAAGTGCGCCGCCCCTCCTCGTAAATTCAAAGCAACCCCAAGCGCCATTTGTGGAGATAATGAAAACAAAATGACCCCGACTCTAGAAGTGTTGTATGTCCACAAAAACTATAGACTTGAGTCAATATCCAAAATATTGTTAGCTTCATAAGTTAGTAAGTAGTTTTTTAATTTGTTCAAAATTCATACTATATCTTCTAATGCTGTTTTTATATTTTTTCTGTTCGTAAAATAAACATCTTGTTTGTTATATGTTGGCATTTATATGTGTTTATCTTAACGTGCTATCTTCATACAATTTTCTTATTTATTATTATATTGTATTATATAATAAAATTTATGCCTAAGTCCTCAGTTATCGTAGTATAACTTTTCTTTCTCACTTAGTACAATAGAGCATCTCGGCAGACGAGGCGGTCGCGTGATCGAACACATCTGGGGCGTTGTGTTCTATCATTTGTAATGCGACAAATGACATGTCATAAAGAATTGCAAAACTTGTTTGGATATTTGTTGTGACTAAATAACCACTAGTTGTTAAACTCATAAAAGTCGCTCCTAGAAACTTGATTTTTTAACAGACTTCGAAAAGGACGAGGTTCTCAATTCGTCTTTTATTTTATGCGCTCCTGCTTGTCCGATTTTCATATTTTTTATTCGAAAAGTATTGCGTGTCCGTTAATGTTGAAAAATTAAGAAAGTGTTCAGTAGTTTTTGAGTTATTAGTAAAAAAATGTCAGTCTTATAAATTTTCGGCCGAAACGTCTATATAAAACCCTACTGCCATGTTTCTATCCTATACTATTAGTATATGTTATAGCTATAAGGGTCAATGTATTCAAGTTACATGAAATAATTAGCTATCGTAAAGTTGGTAGTATAATTTATTAACATGGGCTAGGTCACCTATCCTGTAAAGGCCAGCTCGCTCGCGTGACCAACCCCAATGAAAGCTGCTAATAAATCTTGAATAGTTTCAGGTCTGCTATATGTCTACTACAATAAACTACGTGTAATAGATATTACTAAGTAATTGTTTGTGTTTTGTTTATAAATATAAATATTTTAAATGTTTCTACAGTCATTATGACACTTGTATTTGTGCACTTATGTTTGCCTGAAAAATCTTCAGCGCAATAAACAAAAAGTACTCTATAATATGCCTGCATGCATTCAACTTTACGTAGAGTCTTGTTAAAATTGGCCCAGTCGTTACGGAGATTACCAGGAACAAACGCTGCTTTGTGGACAGACAAAAAAGGACACTCCAATTTTATTCATTATATAGATAGAGATAATATTAAGCGAAAAATGGAAGCTTTATGAAATGTAATAGTTTCCTTTATCTTTTAATATCAAGTTTTCTCTTTTAAAATGTTAATCAGATATTTTTTACAATTAAAAGAAGATAATTGTAGAACTGTTTTTAAATTTTTCATAACTTTTTTTTTGTAAAAAAAGTAGTTTGTTATTAAAGCGCTGCAGAAATTACTGAAGTCAGTTTTCAGCGCAATTAACCCCATTTAAAGTATTTAATGTCACGAAACGACATTAATGATAACGAAAGCCATAACTGGGTCGACTCAGTGTCATGGAAAACAATTTGGGAATTAGGATTTGCAAAGATAAATGCGGTGTGTTTATGACTTTTGAAAATATAACTATTTGTAAAAGTAAATTTAAATCATTCATTCAAAAAGATTAACTGAATGAATATGGTCATTCATCATCATCATCATCAATACGTCCTCACTGAGAGACTCGGAGCCTGTCCTATGTTTAGGGTCACTAGGCCATAGTAGATACTGAATCTCTTCTCAGTTTTCCTTTACCGTAAGAATGTCGGATATGGGGTCATTGATCAGTATTAAATTAGTTATGACATATGACGTTGACACCCAATAACTACATCTCATTCTCTATTTTAAACGATGTAACTTTCTCTAAATTACAAAAATGAATTTTATGTAACCCAGTGAGTGTGGTCCCTGTTCACAATCTGCGCACGTCCTGCATGGTGACGTGGAATACTAAACAGAAGCCGAGTCAGTGCAACTGCAACGATGTACACATTACACAGTTGTACATTACGTAACGTGTACATTACACAGTTGAACATTGTACACATGTTAACGACAAACGCAGCTATTGCTGAGTTGAGTATCTCTGTTGACAAAGCAAACATGAACTATTTTAGCTTTAATCGTGGACTCTATTAATCGGTGTTTGTGAGGTAAGTTAATTCGCCAACAAAAAGTCCGAGAATGATGTTAGTACGAATTCAGTAGATTTAATTATTTAGTATAGAAGTATAGTCAAATATGCGTTTTGCTATCTAGTTTATTTATTCAGTCTATTTAAACAAACTTAACTAAATTTGCTTTCGTGGTAGTGGCGGAAGGTCTAAATTTTTTTTAAATAATAAAGTAAAAGCAATAAATAAAACAAAAAACGATCGATTATTTCGAATTAAAAAAGATAAACTTTAACTGTTGTACGTAATGTAGTACAACGTTCGACTCTTGATAATCTCTAATAGAAATACATTTAGCATCTTGTACTCAAAGATACGAAGTACCTTTAAGTAAAAAAGATAAGTTAAGTTAAGCAACGTTGTATACAAGAAGTTTGTCGATAAAATCGTCTCAAGTTTCACTTCGACTCAAAACTTTGAGTAGACTTCACGTATCTTTTTATTAAAAACACTTAGGTCTGATTTAAGAGTTTGGAGAGGTCTGCTCCTTACGAGCATAAAAGATAAGTAAGATTACCTTAAAAGATAAGTTTTCATTGAGTTGAAAGTTAGTTTTCGTGTTACATGAATATTTTGTTACATTATCTACAACGAAAAATCTCTCTCTTCCTTTCTTAAGGTGCCTTTCCATTTAATGGAGGTTGGCCGTCAGCTCAGTGAACGAAGAATCGTTTCCCAATATTTTTTTTGGATTAAATAACCATTAAAATTAAAAAAAAATATGTGAAACTTTAACATTGTACATCAAAAGGAACTGTTTAATTTTTAAAGGATACCTCATGATATTATAAAATTTGTTACGAACCTTTTTCAAGTCCTTATTTATATCCGCATCGTCGGCTTTTCTTTTTTCGCAGGACAGAATGCAGTTCTTTCCGTTGTCTTTTTCACCCTGCAACAAACAAATTCAACGTTAATAGGTAAGCAAAGTCAGCAGTTTATGTTGGCAGTTGAAAATACTTTAAAAGTTCCTGTAAAAATTTGAAAATGAAAACTGAAAAATCTTTAAATAGATTTTATATCTTACTAATAAAAATGAAAATGTTTACACGGATGTATGTTTGTTTGTAGGTATCTCCATGAAATTTGGCACACATACAGAACGTAGCCGGGAAGAATACATAAGCTACCAAATATGTTTTTTTTATCCCACGCGGACGGAATCGCGGGCGACCGCTAGTAACAATATAAAAAGCTATTGTTATAGAATATAGAGGAATATTTGCAATTACATGGCAATATTTCTTGTGTGTCAACGGACCCGAAGTAAGCGAGGCGAAAAGTTAAATAAAACAAGGTGAAATATGGCGACATAATCTGCCTCGTAAATCATTATATACGGGAATGCGTATAAAGAATGTTGCACATAAGATGTGGTACTTGTAGCAACGTATAACCGTCAGTTTCCATTGTCGGAACACATGTACAGAAACATTGTTATCTACGTTCTTCCAAAAACAATGTTTAGGATGGCGTTGTCCGTTGCCGACAGACGATCTCCATAAGCGAGAAACCATTATAAACTTAAAAATATCGCAGATCCTTGACATCTCACTTATCCAGTTTCAACTGTATTTTGTTGAACATATGTTTAGGCAATGGAAGCCCACGGTTAACCCTACAGTCACAGATGTTTGTATGATTGGGATAAATTGTATGTAACGTAACTTTAAAGTTATGATAACAACATGAAAAAAATGGTGCAAAATTTAATATTTCTGGTTGGTATTCTAAGAGATAAAATTTGAAAAGGAAAGTAAAAGTTAATTATTTATCTAAACGGTTGTTTTCCAATAAACATATCAGAAACACGGTAGGTGGGTTCTTGTGAAATATTGTAGCTGCAGAATATTGGCTTGTGGACAAAAGATTGCGTATATTTTGAAAAATGCTCTAATCAATATTTAAAAACATTTCTGGAAGTCATTTATTTTAATGTTTTTTTAACCTAAAGGCTAGAGCGTGTTATGGTTATCTTGCTTCTTGTTATTAAATAAAGCGGAAAGTTTAACCAATATGCAGTCCATTTTTTTTATAATTAAATGCTACAGGATAGGTCTGTTAATTTAGCCCCGTCCCGATGCGTTGGAGGAACAGAGAGGTTTAGTGGGTATGCCTCCGCTATGGGGGAGAATCGCATATAACTACACCCTCCCCCCGGAGCACGTAGTTTGCATAAAGCATTCCTCTCTGGAAAAAAAAAGTCTGTTTATTTTACCTTTAATTTACATAGTAATATCAAAACAATATTATGGAAAATTATAAAGACGCAATTTTCGAATTACATTTTTATAAATAGAGCACACCACAGAAATATATTCCGTAAGTCGTTCGTAACACGTGAATGAATGCGAAATAGAAAATGATGAAAGTTGGTGAATTATTAAAGGGCTGCGTTCACATCGGGGTCTCGTCGGGTGGGGGAAAGTACGACGTAAACACATAACGTGTTCGTTCATTTCACGCGAATACCTTATTTCGTAAGTTAAGCTCTTATACAATTACCCACCTTTTTTTGGAATTCGTAAACGAACTGGCTGAATACAAAATATTTTTGATCGAGTTAATGACTTCGTAGATATACAGTCAAACAAATATATCTGGCCTGTAAGAGGAGCGTTGCTATAGCGGTTCTGTCACAAAAATATAAACGGGCTATTATACGACCAGGAACTGGAGACATTTTTTTTTACATTCACAGGGGGGCTAGCCAGCTATCATAATTTAATTTGATTTATGCCCACCAGGTCAGATAACTTAGTATATAAATGCACTTTCATTTATTTACGCACACACTGACACATTAAGACTTAAGTGGTCATTAGGAGTAAATTTACATCAGAATTCTATACTAAGATACACCATGGCCACTTGTTAATCTTATACGTTTGCAAGAAAACCTTTTCATTCACTACAACGTATTTAAACTACACATTTTTGTTTAGATTTACTTCGAATCTCGACGAATAAAACATTGTAAAACAAACAGCAATCGGTGTACATCAATCGAATCGATTGCTTGCTGACAAACTGCGAGAGTTGTCCGGTATTATGTTACAAATCTTTGACTTTTAAGAGACAGGATCTGCCAAGCGCGCTAATTCCCCTCTGTTATATAAAAACAAACAAGTTCCAAACTTCGTTGACGTTGATAAGTCGTTATCAACTATCAAGTCTATTTCAATTTTACATAAGCGTTACCCTGATTATGCACGTGATGTGTGATTGTTTTTACCTAACCTCTGCAGAAAGTTGCAGGATATACATATTTGGTTCAACGGCGGCTGTTTGACTAGTCCATTTTTCTATTGTCAAAGTTACAAACGCACGGCTTCCGACGCGATAGCGATGGTTCTGATCGATAGCTCACTTCCTGACAAATGAACGTGAGAAATGCAACTATTGGTTTATGGTTATATTGGTTAAATACTCGGGTTCTAATCTGTTTTATATAAAGTATTATTTTGATTTATGTATTTTTTAGTGGAAATACTTAAGAGACTTTCTAAGTTGGACGTCAGAGTTTGTAAATGTTTACATTAAAGTCGAAAAAAGTGAAACTTTTTTTAGAGTAATAGTTTTCATTTATTTTAAACTATCAAAGAAAGATCTTAACACAGCTCTAGCTAAAAGTAGAATTAGAGAAAAAAAAGTTAAGAAACATGAAGCCTTTTTTGGCCCATACAAGTTCGTTTCGAAATCGGTTTGGCGTCGCGTGCCGAAGAGCCGCCGCGAAGCAAAGGAGGGGATTGTCGGGTAACGATTTATGGGAACCCAAGTCCCTGGTCACGTGCGCACGTGTTTAGGAATTCCGGGAATTGTGAATAAGCAAGGGACTTCCCCGTCCGGATATATTATACTATGTTTTTCAGGTTTGCTACACTGTGAATATTAGATTATTGATGTTTGTTTTATAAAAATATACTATCGCATTTTTGTTATACTTAATTTGATTTCAATATCTTTTTTCAAACTTTAAACGTTGAATTATGAGATGGTTGCCGCGTCAATAAATCAAATTGTGGATTCCAATTTTAAACCACCTATTTTGCATTCAGTATTCTAGACTATTGACATTAAACTTTTCAGTTGTTTTTGCATTATTTTTTTTTTATATCAAAAGGTGGCAAACGAGCAATCGGCCACCCGAAATCGCTGAAATAGCGAAGTGACCGTTGCCCATGGACATACGCAATAGCATATGCGTTGCCTACCTTTAATCGACGAAGGAGAGTGTAGCATTCGTTGTGCTATATTTGGCTCGTTCACGTACCGACACGTGTTGCCGGCTCAAAGGTCTGACATCGACTGACGTCCCCTCTCTCCGGCATGTACTTATGGCGTGTACGCTCGAGACAAACAACACTACGTTTATGCATACACTACATCCCTTCCTTTTTTTAATATATTTAATATTGCTAAGTATAGGTACTTGTATTCTAAAACTATCAATTAATGGAATACAAGTATACATGAAATTCGATATCCTAAGTTTCTCTACACTTCTACATGTATATCCATTTTGTAAGTTTAATAAACTTAGATTCAATGACAATAAATATAAATTCACTTAATAATTATTTTCACAACAACTGCATAGATATTTGTTACCATCCTATACTTATCTTCCATGTTTCCATTATTTCTTCCTTCTATATGCTCTACTTCCTTCCATTTGTTATTTAGAACACTCCAGTGTCCCTCAATTCTTTTTAAATAAACTTATTTTCGTCTTGACATTTGTCACGTTAAAATATTCCAAACTTCAATATCGCCATCAATACCTGTCTCTACGGTATGGGAAGCAGGATTTTAATTGACGTTTACTTTGTTATCTTTGTGTAAATTATTAATGTCGAAGCCAAATATTTTGCTAAAAAGATATGTTTAATAATTAACAGTACTTAAAAGTACTTAACAGTTTGAATGTATCCTAGGCGTGATAATTTACGCTAGTAGCAACAATAAAATTTTACTCTCTACTATGAATGTTATGCACTGTAGACACAGTACTAGTTGGTTGGAACACCAAAAGATGTAACTGATTGTGTGACCATTTAACTTGTTTACTTTTTAATTTTCAGATGTAACTGTGCCCGCGACTTCGCTCGTACGAAATACTGACTTGGATAGCATTTCAATCACTTAGGCTAATCACTTAATATTATTAAGTTTTATACTGAAACATATTAAACCCACTAAATACTCGCACAAAATTCACATATTCCAATACATCAAAATCAGTCCATGACAATGGTCCCAGGCTCCCGTCCATCAGTGTACCAAACTTAAGCTCAGATAGACAGACAGATGAAGGCACCCTCGCATCAATAAGAATGTTCTATCCCTATATTATGGAATAGTCAATGATAATTTTCTTTTCTAATACATAACCTGAAAATGACTAACTTACTATGTTAACAATTTAATGTTTCTTCTCCTTCAAAGATGTTACATTTTCTATTGAATGAAGGTTTCAAAAGTCAAGACTTATACCTTTTTTATATTTAATTACCAAATTTATTTCCCGGCTTATTTGAGATCTTTCAACCCACAACACAGAGTCACTAACGGTATTTAATTATGTTGAACTTTATATTTAACTTGATGGACAATATTTAAATGCCACTATAAATTTTCAATTTATCAGATGTTCAACTATATCTATATGTAACAATGAATTGCTAATGACTACTCTGAACATAGCAAAAGTCTTTTTCAATATAAGTGTAACATAAATAAACATAAAGAGACAAACTCTTTGTCCCTTCTTTTCACAGGTCAGCAAATGAACTTGTCATTGCCGTTTATTCTCTAATGTTATTTACAATCAAACAGGTAGCTATTTCTGTATGAAAATAGTTAAGTTACTTGTAGAACTAAGGGATAGCA